TTTCCTGGAGAAGTTGGCATAACACTACAACCAGTCACGGGGTACCTCTGTGGGTGATCATGTGGCAGCAACCAACATTTGAATGGAGGCCTTCTACCATAGTACTGCATGTACCTGACAATCTCCCCTGTCCTCACTCTTCTTCAAAACTCATTTTTTTAACAAATATTTCTCAAACCAGCACAGTTTCACTCCTCTCTGTTCAACTGCAATTCATTGCAAAGCTTCCAAATGATTTTTTTATTGCAGTGGCTGCCAGTGATATCTGGAGGTGGGTAAGTAAACACAACATATTTATCCTATTTTTAAAAGAACAAATTTCCCATTTTGACATGTACTTTTCTGCTTGTGCCAAAAAATAAAGTAAAATAAAATAAGGAAAGGGGGCAGCCAACTCCTCTTCTGTGTAAGCTTCCTGACTACAGCTTATCCCATACTGCTTCATTCACTGTAAAGATTCTGCAGTGACATGGTAAATCAAATTTGCGGACACATGGCCAAACAACCTAACAACCGCAGCTCAAAGGTTCAACCCGAAGAGTTACAAACCTTCTCTGCACACAGGATAGGAGGGAGTGAGGACACATATAGGACTCTAGTGTAACCCTCCCATTCCATGCCACATTGATTCCCACTGCTAGTGTGCCACTTTTGTCAGGGTATGCTGCCCTATGCCAGAAAGCTAAGGTCTTCCCACAGCCTGCCTTGTCAAATACTCTTCCCAGTGCCTCTAGCATGCCAATTACTCATGGCCTGGATAGGAGTAGCATGGGGTAACAGTAGGTTGCCAGCTCAGGGTAGGGAAATACCTGGAGATGTTGGGTGTGGAGTCTACGGATGGTGGGGTATGGGGAGGGGATGGACCTCAGCAGTATAATGCCATACAGTTAGGGTTGCCATTTGCCTGGTGGGGGCAGGGGAATCCCCAAATTTGCAGGCTCCTGCAGGAGGGAACCCCCCCCCCACTCAAATAGCAACATCACACGTAATGTGCCTACATCACCTGGAAGTGACATTGGCATGTCGGCGACATCAGGGGTTGACACTCTGAATTTTTGGCAAAACTCTATGGTTTGATGCCAATTTTACCATAGAGTTCCACCCAAAATCCAGAGCGTCACCCCCGACATCACTTCCAGGTGAAGCAGGCATGTCACTGTTTTGGGGGGAATGGGGGGGCAACATCACTTTCCACTCCCAGAACGTCCTCCCCATCCCCCTGCTAGTGGGCAAAAGGGACCTGGCAGCCCTACATACAGCGCACTCTCCAAAGCAGCCATTTTCTCAGGGGAACTGATCTTGGTTACCTGGAGATTAACTGGAATAGCAGGAGATCTCCAGCTGCTATCTGGAAGTTGTCAACTTTAGTTAACAGGGACCACACTGAATGCTTGAAGGGGAGGCAAGGAAGAGCCTCCATTTCCTGCAAATTGCCTTGAAAGTTGCAGTCTGCCGAGTGAGGCAACCACAACTCTACACAGGACAGGAGCAGGATTGTAACCATTTAGTTTAGATCAGTTACATAGAGGACCTCCCCCCAATGAACATATTCAAAACTTCTAAAAAAAACCCCCACACATATAAAACTACTCTTCACAAACAGTTCACATGATGCAAAAGCCAAAGTACTACATATTTCCCTGCAATCTTGCAACAGTAAAAAAAGTTGGAGCCTACAACACTAAAGATAATAATAATAAAAAAGATCATGTCCTGTATTGAATTTTTCTTAGAATGTAAATTAAGCTAAGTATGAATGAGAAGCCCTGACCTGGATAGCTCAGGTTAGCCTGATCTTTGTCAGATCTTGAAAGCTAAGCAGGGTTGGCCCTGGTTAGTAGTTGGATGGGAGACCACTGCTGAATATCAGGGGTGCTATGTAGAGACAGGTAGTGGGAAACCATCTGTGAATGTCTCTTGCCTTGAAAACGCTATGGGGTCACCATAAGTCTGTTGTGACTTGATGGCGAAAAAGAAAAAAGAAAAAGAGATAAAAGCACATACCAAAACAAACAAGCAAACAAAACTAGATTAATAAAACAGGAGTTCATAAGTAAGAATCTGACAGATTCTTAGAAGGTTAAGCATTATAATTAAATGAGGAACTGATAACTGGACCTTGACAGCAGCAAAAAAAAAAAAAGGAATGAGACGTGCAATCCTATGCAAAGTTACGCCTGTCTCAGGCAGCTGAAATCAATATGCTTAGACTGAGGTAATACTGCATAGGATCGCACTATTAAGCCTCTTGTGCCTCTCAATGTAGCATTAATTGAAAGTTACCTGGTGTCCAAGACTTGCCATCTGACAGATGAAGACTCAATTAACAGGCACATACAAAGGCTTTGAATAACGACACCTAACAAACAGATTTTACTGCTAGGCATGCTGAAGGCCTCCAGTTCCTATGTTCAGCCAGTCAAGGTAATGAATGACTGTGCTTTTCTTTTGTCTGCTGTACGTTTGTAAATGTTAATTCAGGGTTTTGAACTCTGGCTACAGTCAAGTTTCTGCTTGAAATTATCTCACTGACCTTTTCCAGGAAGGACAGGATTGCCTTTTGCTCATTCTCGTCATCAGCATTGAGTTTGTGCCTCCCAATGGAAGCAATCAGCTCGGCCTCTTTTTCTAAAAGTGCACAGAGTGCTGCCTTCCGCTCGGCTCCAGTGAAGATACTGTCGATGCGTGCAAGCTCCTCCTGCCTCCATACTGCAGCAACCAAAAAGACAGTTATTGATTTTCCAGTTCTCCTTTCTTGATTTAGACTTCACAGACTACCCATATGAAATTGATCCTTTAAGATAGAAATGTACTTAATCAGAGAGAGAAAGGGGATTACAGGGCTTCCCCCCCCCCCCGTACAACTACACTAAGCTTAGCTAAGTACATGGATGAAAGGGAGTTTCTGAAATTCCCTGATGTTGGTGTTCCATGCCATGCCCGTCTATTCTGCTACTGTCTTAATATATAACTGAGGATGAAGGAAGAATTATATGAAAGAGGAACTGAACTTGCTTTAGGGATTGTGCATGCAACTGTTTTGTATTCTGTCCTGCAGACCATAGACTTGTGGTCTCCTGTCCCTCCCCCTATATAATACGGCATTGATAGTTTGCCACAAAATAGTCCAAACCAAACTATTAGACAGTGCCAGTCCAGTGCACACTTCTGTGTCTATATGCAGTCTCCCACATGCCTGAGGTAAGATTCATGGTGACATGATTATTTATTTACATATTTATACCTTACTTTTCTTTCCAATGGGGCCTCAAAGCAACTTACAACAGTGTACTCCCCTCCTCTATTTTATCCTTACAACAACCATCCTGTGAGGTAGGTTGGGCTGAGAGAGCATGACTGCTCAAGGTCATCTAGTCAGCTTCCATGGCAGAGTGGGAGTTTGGACCCCAAGTCTCCCAGAGCCAAGTCTGACACTCTAGTCACTATACCCCATTGGCTCGCTTCCTTTCAAAGTTTCTGAAAGCAGCAGGGTGTCTGCTCATGTGGCTTCAAATGGGTGGGTTGCCAATTTTGTAATACTGGACTGAAGGTCTACAGATAAATAGCAGTCAACCATCCCGGGCTATGCATTCATGTGGACAGTGTACCACATGAGCTGGACAACCATAGATATTTGTAACGGTTACTGCTGTCATTACAAAAGATGGGGAAAGTACTAAGGTGATCATGGAAATAGCTAGTCTCTGGGATCACACATTATAGTTGTCCACCCAAAAATGTTGCTTTGGACAATCAGGATTCCATGTAGAGCAAAAGATCTTTTAAGAACCAGCCCTTAATGTGAAATTTAATTAATCCCATTAAATATTGCATTAGTAAAACTGCTATTCACGAAACATATTTCATATATAATTACTAAAATACCCTGCACACTTGAACAGCAATTTATGAACATTATCTTGCACAAAATAAGAACACCAGTTAGTCACAACAGTTGTAATTAAAATCTGTATGTGTAGAAAATTGCTCTATGTAGCATCCCAAATCCATACTAGTACTAAAGCCTTGCCCATAATTTAAATGTTACATTTAAATGAGAATGCAAAATTATGTTAGGACAGCATTGGCAAAAGGACACAAACACTTTGAGCTAGACCATAAATTATCCAATTAGGCTTTTGAGCCCAGGTTAATAATCTCTTTAGGAGTAGAAAATGTCATTATTCTCCAAGTGAAACTACCACAGTGGGAGACTGGATTGCTGAATGTACATAATTCTAATAGTATCTGAAGTAGGAATACAAGTGTCATATCCTGGATTCAGCAATGTTATGATCCTCAGGGCTAATACATCAAGCTAAACTATCCAAATGACAGAGAAATTCTTAGATTAGATAATCTGATCTCTTGACAGACAGGTTTGCTCATACCCTCAGAGAACAAGCTATATCTGTGGATAATCAAACTGAAATTGGTTACTGAAACTCCTGACCCTGTGAGTCACAGTTTTGACTGCTGATTCCAGTTTCTGTAAACATATGCTTGAGTGAATCCATTTTCAGAATTTGCTTTCTAGATCCAGGATTCTCAAAGTGTCATGGAAGCTCCCCTAGAGGGGTACAAATACCTCTCTGATCTCCTACATGCCATTATTTTGGCATGCTCTGATAGAGCAAAGATGTCAAGGTTAGCTTTGCCTATTACAGCTCCTTGCATGCTATCCACAATCCTCTCAATATGTATGATTGACATTTTGTGTGAATAGGATATTATGCATCCTTTCAAGCACTAGTGTGCACACTCTTTTTTTGTAGTGCTACTCATGGTACTGAATAATGGCACATGGGGAGGCCCTTCCAAGTCCTGAGGAGAGAACTGAGGGAAATCATTGCAACCTTATATATGATTACCAAACCCCACCCCTTTTAAAAAAAGAGCACCGGAATAGGTGTGAATGCATATCTGTAATATATCCAGGTGCACATACTGTGTGCATCAAGGGGATTTTGTGCAGTGTGCTTTGCTGGGTCAGGAGGCAGAAGAGCCAAAAATGCAATAACTGAATAGGGTTACACACACAGTGTTATCCCAACAGTTTCTTTGTCATGGAAATAAATATCAGCCATGCATGCTGGATTGCATTCTGCATCCCTGAGAGACAGTGGAAGAGAAGATTCCTTAAAAAAAAACCTCTCAGTTGCATGAAGGCCTGTTTCCATCATGGTTAGTCACACAAAAACATTTTTGCAATAATGCAGGACAGCTGCACAGATCAACTCCGCTCCCTTCCTATTTTCTGCATCTTGATACAATGAAGGAGACTCTTTCAAGTCACCCATTGCTTTCCATCAGCTTTAGAGGATGTGTTAGGTTGTCAAGAGCTCAATATATATCACCCGCAACTCCTCCCAAGTTGTGACAAAACTCTGACATTTAGATGAGAATCTACCACTGCTTAAGTGTAACCCTCAACCTTCAGCTACCTCCAGTTAGAAGAGTTTCTTTACTCATGGCCCTATTGAGCACACACACATCTCATTTACAAAACTCTGATTTTCAATTTGAGCACAAATTTGATAAAGAAACTGGTCAATCAAGTACCCCAACAATAATGACCTTTCAAGATGCAGAACCAGTTTAATGCGTTTTCTGGGGAACAAAATGACACATCTCACTTGCAGTTCCCAAAACGGAATGTTTTATGAAGCTTCTTAAATGCATGCAAACCTTTTATCATTTGGAAGGTCCAGTTCAGCTATGGCCATTCTAACTGCCTCACAAATTCAGTTAAGTGAGACTTTAATATGATTTTATTCAGAGAGCTGTTCTGATGAGGCCTCCACATCAGCCCAATTGATCTGTTACTTCAACCAATACCGTCAAGCATTGCGACCTTACATCATGTGGCAAACTTGTAAGGCGCACCTGCTGCCATGAGCTGAATTTTACCACTGGCGAACCACCACAAATACCAACATATGGGTGAGCTGAAGAGTGCATAAAAGCAGAATTTGGTGCAAAGTAGTGGCTTCAAACAGTTTCGCATACACAGGAAATGACTGGGAGATATTAATCTAAGCTGGTCTTCCCCCCTGTTAGCCATCATTTTCTGGAAGGGGTGTGTATAATAATAATAATAATAAGAGGAGATTGTATTTATACCCCGCCCTTCACTACCCAAAGGTGTCTCAGAGTGGCTTACAAACTCCTTTCCCTTCCCCTCCCCACAACAGACACCCTGTGAGGTAGGTGGGGCTGAGAGGGCTCTGACAGAAACTGTTCTTTATCAAGAACAGCTCTTATCAGAACTACGGCTTGCCCAAGGTCATCCAGCCAGGTGCAAGTGGAGGAGTGCTGCTGTCGCGTCTGATCCCGTTGCAGCGGCTCAAATTGCGACTGCGCTAATAGCCATGCCTCCTCCCCGCGTTATCTGGCCCGTGTGATCGGGGCCTTTGATACTTTTCTCTATTAGGTATATAGCATGCAAAGATCTTTACAAATGCTTTTTTCCATTAATTTTCACAGACTTCCCAAGGAGCTGTTATTCCCATTTTATTAATCACCAACTGTGGCAGAGTAAAGGCAACTTCTTCAAGGCTACACAACACATATCTTAGCCCAACTCCCTATCTTCTAGACCATGCTGATCACAGCTTGAAGGTCTCCATACATTTCTGGAAAGTTTAGAAAAGTTTGCTTCCTCCAAACAAGGTTTGAAATGGGAACACTGGTTACTTATTCTGACAGAATATAACCATGCATGTAACATCCATCTCTGAGCACATCAGCCATCTGCAGAGTCTATCATTCTGCACATAAAAGCATCCCTCATTTTGTTCTAATTGCTAACAGAAGTTGTGTGCAGCTGAACGCAGTGAGAATAAAACAGACAGAAAAAGTCTCCGTGTTTTTTTCATCTGCAATGCTTGCTTTGTTTGTTTGTTTTGACTGCTTCTTTTTTTATTTTTCTACTCTGGTTAACTATGAATGGCTGCCTAAGAAAAGCACACCATTGGAAGGCTTAAGCAGTTCTGCTCCAGTCAACAGGACACACCAAAATCAAAGCACTTCTTAAGGCCCCAGAAGGGGGCAGCAGTTTCAAACAAAAGCAAAACACGCCTCTGCCTACAGGAAATGAATTTTCAAAGCAAGCTTTTTGGAGCTAGTTTCATTTCCAGCCTAATTTGCAGCCATCTAAAGCTCTGTATTTAAACAGTGCAGCCCAGTAGCTAAGAGACTGAGAGAGCAATCCCAAGCAGGTCTACACATAATCCTACTGGCTTGCTCCAGGGAAAGTGTTCTTAGTACTGCACCAACTATTGGGATAGTTGCTGCCCAAATTCTGCCTTTGCCATGAACTCAACAGATTGCCTTAGGCAATCCACTTCAATTGTCAGTGCTCCCTTCCATCACCTATAACATAAAGATAATACTGACCTGCCTTACAGGGTTGTTTGTAATGGTTACAGCAAGATTGTGTCAGTGAAACACTTTAAATGTTTGGTGTAGTGGTTAAGTGCGCGGACTCTAATCTGGGAGAACTGGGTTTGATACCCCACTCCTCCACTTGCACCTGGCTGGATGACCTTGGGCAAGCCGTAGCTCTGGCACAGCTGTTCTTGAAAAAGAGCAGTTTCTGTCAAGAGCTCTCTCAGCCCCACCTACCTCACAGGGTGTCTGTTGTGGGGAGGGGAAAGGAAAGGAGTTTGTAAGCCGCTCTGAGACACCTTTGGGTAGTGAAGGGCGGGGTATAAATCCAATCTCTTCTTCTTCTTCTTCAATACTCCAGAACCCAAGAACTGTTACAATTCAGTCATACTTCAAAGCCTGCAAGCAACAAAGTATTCAGGGCAATTCAGAAGCCCCCAGTTCTGGGCTCTTGGCCCCATTAAGGTTGTCAAATCTCACTGCAAAGAGAAGCAGGCATGTGCTGCCCCCAATAAGCGTTAACTGTAGGTAATAGTAGTTTAAACTGCTGTGTATCTTTAAGAGCAGTTGCCCCTGGGAATTGTAGTCCTCAGTTAGGTGTCCCAAAAGCTTCCCTCTGACTGGCTCATTAAGAGTAATTCCCTGAGCTCAGATCACACCCAGCTATCAGGTTGATTGTGAGTAAATGATCTTCTGGATGCATGTGACAGGACAAGGCACACATCTGTCAGAATACTTTTGTCAGACTCTGGACCAAGCCCTGTGGCTCCCTTCTGTTTCCAGTCAACAATGCATAGGGGCTGATTGTATATGTAATTTTCTCCTTTCCTCACTCTCTCCCTCCTCATCTCATCGAAAATACTGAAGTTTCTTCAGAAAGCGCTCCCTATTCATTCTTGTCTTTTCTCAGTGCTCTGTCTCTGCCACGCTTCTCCTCAAGTGTCACTGTTTGCCTTACGGTTGCCAGCCTCCAGGTGGGGCCTGGAGATCCCTCGCTTTTACAACTGATCTCCAGCTGACAGAGATCAGTTCCCATGGAGAAAATGGCTGCTTTGAAGGGGGGACTCCATGGCACTGTACCATGCTGAGGTCCCTCCCCTCCCCAAGCCCCACCCTTTCCCAGATCCACCCCCAAAGTCTCCAGGTATTTTCAACCCAGAGCTGGCAACTCTATTCTGCCTACCCATCCTTCAAGTTCTTTTCTCTCTGTACATAGACCATTCAGCATTCTTCATTGGCTTCCTTTCCTTCTGCATTTCCTCCTACTAGAGTTGCCAACCTCCAGGTGGGGCCCGGAGGTCTCCTGCTTTTACAACTGATCTCCAGACTACAGAGATCAGTTGTCCTGGAGAAAATGGCTGCTTTGAAGGCTGGACTCTGTGGGACTGTGCCATGCTGAAGTCCCTCCTCTTTCCAAAGCGCATTCCCCAGTCTGGACCCCCAAAATCTTCAGGGATTTCCAAATCCAGAGCTGGCAACTCTACCTCCTTTGTCTTGACAGCTCTGATCTGTTCCCAGCTCTCAGCAACAGTCTTTTATGTGTCTTTTATTAGAGGTTTTTATATAATTGTTGTTCTATTTACATTGTATGCCACCTTGAGTCACAAAGTAGAAAGGTGGCTAATAATTTTTTTAAATACAAAATAAAATAAATCCCCATCCAAAGTTACCTGTCCTTTCCTCATAGAACCTGGACTGTAAACTACTTTGTTCCCTGCCCAGCTGAACATCCTCAGCCTTCACATCAGCTCAGCTAATCAGTGTCAGCTACACTGCCACAAGTACAATATAACTGAACACAGGCTTTCAGTAGAACTAAAGACATTTCTAAATTAGAGTCCTGGTTTAAGTTTTGATCATTTCCATCCTGATAAACAGAAGACAGACCACTAAATGAAAAGGGTTGTCTGTTGTAAAATATTGACACTTCCAAGTTAATTATTTAGTATTGTTTACTGTCTTTCCTGTTTTCATATAACCACTTAGCCTTCACTGAAAACACTTTGGACATCTTTAAGCAGACAAGATGGTTGTTTTAAAAATTGTGAGTGTCATTATCTGGCCCCAGTAACAACATAGTATTAGTGTTGACTTTTAAGGCCTTGAGCGGTCAGGGACCCACGTACCTCTGGGACCGCCTCCTCCAATATGTCCCCAGAAGAATGCTGAGATCAGCTGACAACAATTTGCTGGTGATCCCCAGCTCTAGGGAAGTCTGGCTATCCTTGACTAGAGCCAGGGCCTTCTCAGTCCTGGCCCCGACCTGGTAGAAATCTGTGCTGAACAACATCAGGGCCCTGTGGGATCTGATGCAATTCCTCAGGGCCTGCAAGGCAGAGATGTTCCACCAGGCTTTTAGCTGAGGGCAGCAATGGTTAAGACTGGTACCCTTTTCCTGTTTTTTTTCCTATGACCCCCACCTGCAGTGTTCCCTCTAAGCTGAGTTAGTGTGAGCTAGCTCACAGTTTTTTAGCCTCCGGCTCACACATTTTTGTCTTAGCTCAGGAAGGATGGCTCCAGAGCAAACTAATTTATGCAGTAGCCAAATTGCTCGCTCACAACTTTAATGCCAGTCACTTACAAAGTCGAAGTTTTGCTCACAAGACTCCACAGCTGAGAGGGAACATTGCCCACCTGCCCTTCCCTGCCCTGCTGCACAGACAGCACTGTAGCTGGCAAAAGGGGTCTATATTGCCATCTGGACTGTTTTTATTGGATTATTATGATAATTTTATGCTGACTGTATTTTAACTGTTTTAAGATTGTAAATCACCCAGAGGCTGCTTGCAGGGTGGGCGATTCATACATTTAATAAATAAAGTCCTACTGTTGAATTCAGTAGGAATACCCTTCACAGATCTCTAGAGGACAATAATCTCATCGGATCACTGTCAGAGCAAGACAGCTTGTGCAGATCTTTGACACTGCAACAATGTGAAAAGTAGTTCTAGTCACAGGTTAAAAAAAACCTGATTCCTAGAATCAGTAAGCTCTCTTAGGGGGGATGAAGGTGATTGCCAGTTACTGTTCAGGGAAGCAACCAGTCAACAGCAAATTAAAAACAGAAGCAAATGGCAGGCTGGGGTTCCAATACAGGCAGATGAGGCAGCAGCCTTCATTCTCCAAAGCCCTCGTCCCCTGTGCCAAAAACAGCGTGTGACCCACGGCTTTGCTTCTAGCAGTGTCAGCTCCCTGAACAACAGGAGAGGACAATCCCAGAAGCGTCTGCAACATCACAGGGACTTTGCACAGGCTCAATGCACATATCATGATGGGCAGCAAGTAAACTATGGGTTGGATACAAAGTATCATGAGAGGTACAAACCTCACAGAATGGGACTTCCCCCCCTTCCACCACAGCTCATGGAACACTCCTGAAACTGGGTCCCAGGGGACCACAAAAATAGCCTGTGTGGGGATGAAGACTGCAGTGAGAGGAGGAAAGCTGATGAAAATCCACCTCCCAACAACAGAAGGGCACTTTCACTGGCCTAAATGCTGTTACACCAGCAGAACAGCACCTTGGGAGTTGGGATCCAATCCTTTGAAATCAGCACTGGCAAAAGCCCATGTTGATATTGGGCCTGATGTCTACAAAGGATACTAATTAAAAAAAAAGAAATTTGCAACTACTTTTTTCATACCAAGTCAGAAAGGCAGTAATGAGGGATATCACAGAGGAAAGCCACAGCTACTCTCCAAGGAATTATTCAAACATGTCTGTGGGATCTCACACAACAGTTTGATTCTATGTGGACAAGTCCCGAAGAAGTGCCAAGCTCTCTTGCACAAACAAACCCTACTCTTTCCTGCCCTTGTATGTAGTGAGATATTTAGCAGCCTCAAATTTTGTGGCAACAAATAGTTTGCTAGTACATCCAAGATGGCAAAGTGTGGTTTGCAGTTCACTGTTCTCCAAACAGTGGCTTAATTGTCATTTGAAACCCTGGTTTGCAAGGAAACATGTAATTTACTACTTTTGATGTCATGGTAAAACATGGTTTTAGAAAGCTGGGAAAGCATCCAAAAATATCACTCCCCACCTGTGCTTTGAAATGATAACAATCCAGAATTCTACTACCCTATTCTGTATAATGCAAGGGTTGGTGGAAGAAACAGAAACGAAAGTTAGCAACCTGAAAGTACCTGCTGCAGTCCAGGGCACCAACTAATGTCACTCATTCTAACTTCCCCTTGAGTTCAGTTCATTAAGGTTATTTCTGTTAAAATGTAAAATACACCAGTAATATTTATTTCAAGTAAAACACAGAAGCTGGGTCTATACAACACTTGGTTATAACCATGACAGAGTGAGCTCCCGTCTCTGGTCCCAGCTCCTGCCAACCTAGCAGTTCAAAAGCAAGAAATTGCAAGTAGATAAATAGATACCGCTTCGGTGGGAAGGTAACAGCATTCCATGCACCTCAGCATCTAGTCATGCCAGCCACATGACCATGGAAACACCTTCAGACAGTGTTGGCTCTTCGGCTTGAAAACGGAGATGAGCACCGCACCCTAGAGTCGGATTCGACTGGCCTTCGAGCAAGGGTAACCTTTACCTTTATGGTTCTGAAACCCATGGGGGACTTCTAAGTTTTATTGAAGTTTGAGATACCTCAGCTTGATGAACATCTCAAGACAGTACCTGTGACATGGTATAAACAGTCCTGGAAACAAACATTCTGATGATGTAAGGGATCTATACAAACTTCTTTTCAATTCAGGGTTTTTATTTAAATGTGTATCTTCAAGAAACTTACATTCCAAAGCATGATAGAGTAGTTCAAAATCATCCTTTGTTTTAGGATGCATCCTTCGATCATACTCTCTCCGTAGTCTCTCTGCCTTCTCTCGCTCTTTTCTTTGTTCCTCTTGTTCTTCCCACTCCAATCTCAACCTTTTTTCTTCTTTTAGTCTTGCTACTATGTTGATAGCATTCCACCTTCGGAAGTAGGTTTGTATTACAATGACCTGTAAATAGGAAGGAAAGAGAGAAAACAAGGGAGAAAAATGTTCAATATATGCAACAAAGTGAAACATTCTCATTGGCATTTGTGAGAAAAAAATGGAAGGTTGCTTGAAATGCTTGCAAATTAAAACTTGAGTTCTTTTGCATGCCAATGCAAAGGTATTGTACACTCTGATCAAAAGAATAATTGTGCAGGAAAAGGAGAAACCTTTCTGGTAATACATTTCTAGATTTGTGTGTGGTATCTGTAACGCACTGGTGCAGTGTAAGAATAGATCCTGAACAGCAATATCTCAGTGATACAAGAAAACTCCACATGTTCCAATGCAGCTATACCAAAGTACTGAAGTTACCATGGTGGCTTATTCTAGAAAAGGCTTTCGCCCTTTTGTTCTGGGTTCATGGGGCACCTCAAAGCACCTCATCAGTGGTCCACAGAGCACAACTTAAGAATTACTAGAGTAGGTAAAGATAATATGAAAATATGAAAACAAATGAATGAGCTCTTGAGTAGTTCAGGATGTACTTTGAAGTCACTGATAAACACTTAAAAGAACTTGGGCACCGGTCACACAGGCAGGAAAATGCGGGGGGGAAGCGTGGCTGTTTGTCCCGGAGCAAAATAATGCGCAGCTGCGCAATCAGACGTCCCGTCGAGGTCCCGTGGTTAGGGGGGAGGTGCTGATCACAGGACAATCCTGCGGCGCGGCAAAGAAGCGGCCTCTCTAGCAAAAGGCTCCGCGGTTTTAACCCCTTCCAGGGCTGCAGAGGAATGTAAACTGTGTCCTCCGTCCGGTCCCCTCCAGGAGGAGCTTCAGCCCGGCCACCCTCCTGCCACGCCCCCCCTGCACCTCCCCCTCTGCCGCCCGGTGCAGAGAGTTCCTCTCGAGCAGGCCGAGCCAGGGGGGGTACAGAAAAGAGGAGGGGGCTGTGTTGTTTGTTTTTAACCGAAGTGTGTGCATGTGCCGTTGGGTGCTTGTGCGGATCCCGTGGAGACTTGAAAAAACAAAAACCTTTTAGCGACGGGACATGGGCGGGCGCAGGATGCCACGATTTACCACCGGAAACGCGATCAGGCGCCCGCCCTTGCCCCGCAGTTTCCGGAAACTAGTACCTCGGAGGTACTAGTTTTTTACCCCGCATCTTTGGCGGGAAGCATCGGCTTCGCCACGGGAGCTCTACGCTTCCCAGATGTGGCGTTGTGATCGCGCCCAGAAAATCCGCCTATCTTCTGTCTCTGTAGCGTGGCTAATGCTCCGTGTGACCGCAGCCAACATTTATCTTCAGCCAGCTTCTCTTTTGCTTCACATGCAGACTTCTTGTCTGCAGCTTGCCTTGTTCAAGTCCAAAGCTAGATAACGCAACATCAAGTGCTAGTTATGATACAAACACTATTATTGCAAACATTCATCTTCCTGTTATGTATCATTCCAAATTGCTGTGTGGAACAAATTTTATTTGTTCTACCCTCCCAATCCTTAAAAATGTTAGTTTCATTGCAGTAGAAAATCACCATATCCTATAAAACTATTTTTCTAAATAAGGAGTAATTCTCTTCTAGGAGAGTAACAGTAGTACTGTAACAAGGAAACAGCAATTTTAGGTACTGTAAGAAACCAACTCTATATTCTCTTTACTTATCTTTTTTTTTTTTAAAGATCTGTCAAGGAGTCCAAGCCTGAACCTCATGGGTTCCCAGGGCTAGTGTATACAAGAAACCACACCTTTATAAAAATATATGACATTTATTACATACTTTCTAAAATAGTTTTGTTTCTAGGCAACACTCTAAAAACATAGACACAAAAAAGAGTGCAACTTGAGCTCACCTCCTCATGGTACACCTTGGATAACGCTAAAGAACTAGAACTTGCGGCTGCCAGACAATCGTAAGATCTCCTGGCTGCACTACACACATGGAAACAATCAACCAATCAAACAGTCCTTCTGAGGACTACTTGACAAGGGGTATAGGAAACTGCATCCGAATCTGCCAAATGAATATTGAGGGTATAAGCAAGTCTAAATGCCAATACTTGTCATGAATCTTACTGGCCAATAAAATAGATTTAGCTCTTGTTCAAGAAACGTATCTTGATAACAAAAATCAAGCCTGCCACAGAGTGAAAATTGCAAGATATGTTATTGGCATTACATATAATCATGCCTATGGCACAGTGACTTATGCCGGAAGCAACACTGAAAATGTGGAGCTGTTATTGACCAACATCCACTAGGGGGGGGGGGTGTTCGGCTAAATCCAAGGTGAACAAATACCTGAAAAATACCTTACCAGGAGAACTCTCCCTGCAGGGCTCTGTTGGGCAGTCTGGTTTAAACAGGACTGCCCAACAGAGCCCACCAGGAACCAATCCTGCAGGGAGAGTTCTCCCCACAGGCTTGGCTCCTTTGCCATAGCCAGTTTACCCCGAAGGGAGTTCTCCAAACCAAGGAGTCGTATGGCTTGGAGAAGTCATTTAAAGGGACCACAATCCCTTTAAAATACTTTTTTCTCTCCATTAGTTTCAATGGAGGATGGGGGCACCTTCTTTGGGGACCCATAGATTTGTACCCCCGGTCCAATCTTTTTTAAACTGGGGGGGGGGGGCTTGAGGAGAGGCACCAGCAGCTATGCTGCCAATCTGGTGCATCTACCTCAAAAAACAGCCCCCCGTGAGCCCCAGATACCCCCAGATTGATTCTCCATTATATCCTATGGGGACCAATGGTCAATATTCGTGAACCAGGAAAATACCAGGGTGGTTTGTTTGTTTTTTTGCATGCCCCTAACATCCACAATGACATTACCACAATCATAGTAAAAGTTGGCGAAGTACATGTTGTCAATATTTACAAACCTCCAGCAGTTTCATGACCACCATATATCCTGTAAACCTACCCCCATCCTTCTGCATATGCTGGTGACTTTAACAGCCACCATGGAAACTGAAGATACACAGTTAATGATAAGAACGGTGAGGCACTTGTTGACTGGCTAAAGAACTTGGCTTGCATTTCGTTTTCGACACTGAAGACAGAGGCGCCTTAAGATCAGCAGCATGGAATAGAGAGTCCAACCCTGATTTAACATTTGTTTCGTCTGATCAGAGAAGTCAGTCCTTGCGTGTTCTTGAGGCTTTTTCACATAGTCAGCATCAACCTGTAATCTTCAAGCTAGGAAACCAAATAACAGTTATCAGGTCTTTTCCAAGACCATGATGGAATTTTAAGAGGGCAAATTAGAAAGGTTTCAGTGAAGATCTGGATAGGTGTCTTGGATGGGTCCCTCCAACACTAATAACTACTGCTGATTCAATGGAGTTGTTACATCTTCAGCCAAAAGGCACATTCCTGGACGATAGCAGAAATAATATATTCCAGGTTGGCACAATCAGAGTGAGAGGCTGTATCAAATGGAATGAAGCAACTGCAAACTTGGATTTCAGGCACTCCTGTAGGAAAGCCTGGAGCCTGTTGAAAAACCTGGGTGCAAGCCCACCAGTGCTCTGAGGAAATCCAGCTGGTATCCCTATCCAAAGCTCCAAAGGACTGAGATTTTACAATCAGGATAAAAAAAGAACTACAGATTTTGAAACAAACCTGCCCTGAAGATTGCGAGCTGCCAGGGGATTTCAGTGCTGATGAGATTTCCAAGGGACTGAAGGACATCATGAGTGGAAAGCTACCTGCATCCATAATGAGTTCCTGATCAACAGCGGCATGTTCACTAAGAAGTGACTCGCAAAGTTTCCCACTGACATGAGAACAGGAAATCTCCCAGGGGAATTCAAGAAAGCAAAGATAGTTGCTGTTCTGAAACCTGGAAAACCAAAACATCTGGCAGAAAGTTACAGACCTATTTCCCTTCTAAGCTCCTGTTATAAACTCCTCGAGAGGCTAATCCTGAACAGAATCAGCAACAGAAATAATGAACATGTCCCTATACAGCAAGCAGGATTTAGACCCCATTGTAGTTGTGAAGACCAGGTTCTCAGCTTAACAACTTTCATTGAGGCAGGGTATCAGAAGTGTCTTAAGACATCAGCAGTTTTCGTCCATCTGACTGCTGCTTATGACAGCAAGCAGAAGGCGGGAAAAGCAAGCAGAAGGTGGGAAAAGCAAGATATAGGCACAGTTCCGAAATTCCATTCACCTCAACGTCAGCATTACTACAGTGACTTTGAAAGAAATACAGCCACTATCTAGCCTGGCACAGTCTTCCTTTAAGGACATTTCTCGTGTGAAAGACGTCTTGAGGCCCCTTAGGAAAGTTACCAAGCAAGCCTCCCTAATTCACTACAGACACTCACTCCCCCTCCCCCAGGAATTCAATGGCAGACGAGGGCAGCGATAGGGGGTACAGAGATCAAACAGAATACAAAGGGTTAGAATATATCAGGTTTCAACTAGCCAGATGCCAGCTTCTGACAGTCGTTTCACACCATCTTGTGATTTAAACAATTCCTTTCAATGTGATGATTTAATGATGATCATTCAACGGTTTGAACACTTACTGCCTTAAGTCTTCGTGCATGGTACTCTTCAGCTGTGACATAGCCTTTCGGTTCGATGAGTTTGTCAGTGATGTTTGACACATAAACACCAATTTTAGTCATCTGGGTGGAAGTTGTATTTCTTGTCTGTTGTAGCTTTTTCCTCTCAACTGCTGTCTAGGGAAAAAAAATTATTTTTACAGATAATTGTCTAAAAACTACTACAACAGTGAAATCCTAAGCAGTGTTACACCCTTCGAGATCCACTGAAGTCACTGTAATGAAGGGTATAACTAGCAGCCCGAATAGGCCAGACTAGCCCAAGCTTGTCAAAGAGTGGAGGATAAGCAGGGTCAGCCAGTATGTGCATGGAAGACCATCAAGGAAGACCAGCATTGCTATGTAAAGGAAGGCAATGGCAACCCACTTCTCTGAAAAAACCTACTGCTGCCCTAAGTCAGTTATAACTTGATGGTGTGTAATTATTATTTTCTGTTTAGGATGGCACTGTAAAAACACTATTTTTTCTATATACCACCTGCAACAAATAGCTCATTTGTGAATGTATGGCAGAAAAATAATTCACATAATTATCTTCATACATGCTTAGCTTGTTTACACTTAGTTTCAAATTAAAGTCATTTTATCGTCTTGCAAATGTACCTGTTGTTTGAGATAGGATGAGAAAGGGGCATTGTTTGACTGTAACTGAATGTAAGAAAGGGGCATTGTTTGACTGTAATTGAGTGCCTGGGTGAATCTGGATAGCTGCTGGCAGTGCCCTCTGCTGAGGGAGGCTTCTATTTAGGGCAGCACGAGAGCCAAAGGGCTCTTGGCCTGTGGCTCTTAGCCTAGGGACTCTGTAAAAAGTCCAGGAAGAGCCAGAAAGCCAGGGCCCTAGTCTCCTTGGGTTCCCAGTAAGGTAAGTAGACTTCTACAAGAAGAACCACATAAATACAAAGGTTCTTAAAAGGGGGATTATATATAATTATTATTTTTAAAGCAGTTATGAAGCCAGAATGCCAGCAGGAGGTTGGGGGCTATTCAGTGTTTTGCATGGAGTGTCACATGTATGACTATCTGCCCACTGGACAGAAGTCTTGGGTGTGTGCCTGGTGCAAGGAGCTCCTGGTTCTCAGGGAACGAGTTTGCTCCCTTGAGGCCAAGCTGGCTGACCTGGAGAAGCAGAGACAGTCAGTTAGGCGCATGGAGAAGAGTCTCAGGGACTTGTTAGATATGTCCCACTCTGAATATGGCAGCCACGCCGCTGTCAGGGAGCATGAGGGTCAAGAGGAAACAGGGCACCGTGCTGCTGATAAGGGGAATGTGCCCTCAGAAGGGACCTCTTCTTCAGCTTTCACACCCTAACCCTTGGCAGGGAAGGAGGGGGGCTCTTGGTGGTTGGTGATTTGATACTTAGGCAGGCAGGCAGCTGGATGGCGAGTCCGCATACTGACTGTATGGTGACTTGCCTGCCTGGTGCAAAGGTAGTGGACATTACACGTGTTCTAGATAAGCTGGTAGATAGTGCTGGGGAGGAGCCAGTGGTCATGGTACATGTTAGCACCAACGATGTGGGGAAATGCAGTTGTGAGGTCCTGAAGGAAAAATTTAGGCTGCTAGGCAGGAAACTCAAGGCTAGGACCTCCAAGGTAGCCTTCTCAGAAGTGCTACCTGTTCCACACGCAATATTGGGGGAAAGCCGACAGGAGACGAAAAGTCTCTGGTTCAGGATGGCTCATCTCAAAGAGATGAAGGGGTAGCTGTTACTTTTCTACAAGGAAATGGATTAGAATTGTCCATTGAGACTGTGGCTAACGATATGGACTGCCTGGCAAGATCCTGAGGCAGCAAGAGGAAGGTTGTGGGCTTAACATGCATGGGAATATATACATATTTATATACAAGTGCTAGAAGTGTCTGAGGTAAAATCGGGGAGTTGGAATGTTTGGTGTTGGGGGGGGAATAGACATTGTGGGTATTTCAGAAATGGTGGGATGCGGTGATTCCTGGTTATAAATTATATAGAAAGGATAGGGAGGAAGGGTTGGAGGTTGGGTGGCTCTGTATGTCAGATAGGGTATACAGTCCTGTAAGATTGAGAGGGTAAGAAAATTGGATTCGCTTCTGGAAATGCTATGGGTTGAAATAGTGGGCCCAAAAGGAAGCTTAACACTGGCAGTTTGTTATCGCCCACCAGATCAAACGATAGAGGATTATAAAATGATGAATGAATTAAAGATAGCGGCTAGACAAAATAACTGTGTCATAATAGGTGATTTTTAACTACCCACACATTGATTGTGTCAATACACGTTAATGGGGTCTGAACTGGCAGAGACTGACCAAGAGAGAGATCTTGGAGTAGTAGCAGATAACTCACTGAAAATGTCTAGACAGTGTGGGACTGCAATATAAAAGGCCAATGCTATGCTGGGGATTATTAGGAAAGGAATTGAAAACAAATCAGCCAGTATCATAATGCCCCTGTATAAATAAATGGTGCAACCTCATTTGGAGTACTGTGTATAGTTCTGGTCACCACATCTCAAAAAGGATATTATAGCATTGGGAAAAGTACAGAAAAGGGCAACTTGAATGATAAAAGGGTTGGAACACTTTCCCTATGAAGAAAGGTTAAAGTGCTTGGGGCTCTTTAGCTTGGAGAAACGACGGCTGAGGGGTGACATGATCGAGGTTTCTAAGATTATGCATGGGATAGAGCAGATAGAGAAAGTACTTTTCTCCCTTTTTCACAATACAAGAACTCGTGGGCACTCAATGAAATTGCTGAGCAGTAGGGTTATAACAGTTAAAAGGAAGTACTTCACTGCCACAGGAGGTGGTGGTGGCTACAAGCATGGACAGCTTCAAGAGGGAATTAGATAAACATATGGAGCAGAGGTTCATCAGTGGCTATTAGCCACAAGGTATAGATAGGAACTCTCAGTCTGGGGCAAGTGATGCTCTGTATTCTTGGTGCTTGGGGGGGCAACAGTGGGAGGGCTTCTAATGTCCTGGCCCCACTGATGGACCTCCTGATGGCACCTGGTATTTTTGGCCACTGTGTGACAGAGTGTTGGACTGGATGGGCCATTGGCCTGATCCAACATTGGCTTCTCTTATGTTCTTACCTGTGTTGACCGACAGAACTCTAAATATCCTTTCTCTGGACGTTTTCTGGGTACCGTCTGTGATCCTGCATTGTGATATTCCACGCCTGTTAGCCTATGTCTAAATCCACCCAGAAATGGTTTCTCAAACGTTGGCCTCTTAATCTCTATGGATACATCCTGAAATATGTCTGCATCTATCCAGAAACAGCAAAATTAAATTGCATTCAAAGACAGTATAATAACAGATAGAACAAGCTGAAATGCATATTTGAAAATGGCTGTTCACCTGTTTTCACTCTGACGGTTATAACATCAGGCATGTAGAATTCTTGAAAGAGTTTAGATGATTTGATTGGAAAGCGTTCTTCATCTAGGGAGAACATATCGAACTGTATAGTTCCATGACATTTAGCGTGAAGATCCTGCAGCGTTTCACTGTTCTCCATTATTCTCCCTAAAATTTAATATTTAAGATTAACAGCTGTCACATCATATACAAGGATTAAATATCAGCATAGAAAAAAGAAATTAAAATGAGGTTAGTTTTGGAGAAACATCTTCCTTAAAACAAAACAACCCCTCCCCCCAAAGCAGAAAACTCCACGTGCCCTTTTGATGTGTATGAGATTCGGAAAATAGTGATGTTACAGGGGAACTCTTTAAAGTGAGGGGACTAGCCAGGCATAGTGTGGCAGAGCTCTCTATGCAAACTGCACCTATGGGGGTTGAACTGAAACAACTGCTGCTCCCAACATGCTTGCATTGTGCAGAGCCTGTACACTGTATCCTCTGCAGTTGTCCTCTGGGACTACAATGCTATCTAATGCTTTGAGTCTCCATAGATATACCAAACAGTGGCTACTTGCATATATTGATTCTTTCGACAAAACATATCAATTGGTTCTACTGAGCAATATTCATTCTTACTCTGGGTCGAATTCATTATTATTTGTATAGATCAGGGGAGCACAGGGAGATTTACACCAGAACTTGATACTTACCTAACAACATGAACTGTAAAACATCCTGCGGTATTTTTAATCGTGATGAAAAATACTGTTTCATTTGTCCCACAGTTCTGTTAATATTGAAAGCCATAGCAAAAACCTGGATATCAGGATGCAGCATGATCTTAACTGGGGAGGGGAAAGAAAAGAAATAAAATCCATGCTCATACTTCTTCGACTAATTTAGGGTCTTGGTTTAGTTCAATGGCACAAGTTCTTACTGTATGCCTCTTTTTCTCCTCTTCTCAGATAACTATGGTGATTTTTTTCAAACCAGTTATCACTTTAGAAACAACGTTGTTTTGAATAAAATTGTTCAAATACCACACAATTATATTTCATAACTGTACAATAACCGTAAAAACAACATCTTAAATAAAGAACAAATATACAGAATAGGGCCTACGAAACTAAGCAGGTCTGGTTAACGCCAGTATGGGAGGCATCTTGATAACCCTATGTATGCCATCTTGCGTTCCAAGATGTAACCAAGCGGGGATAGGTTATAAAAAATAATAATCCCTTAACTGCTGTTAATTTCAAAAGCAAGACATCTCTGGACACACCAGCAGACTGTATCCTGTACTGAAGGGGGTTCTGTAAAAAGCAGAAAACTCAAAATCCCTTGGTACTGAAAGCTCCCCACTCCACAGCAGTACATGGAGAAGCCATTATTCATCCCAGTACCAGACTGTCATTGTCTACACACCACCTCAGGAGGCTTTGTTGAGGGCTCATTGCTTACAGAGGTTTGGAGAGTATCCAAATTGCAGAATTCTCTCCTTTTTGAGGCTCAGCTAACCTGACTCAGCTTATCTTTTAAGATATTTCTATTCCACTAGGCTTTAGGCATCCACCTTTGAAAATGATTTTCTTGCTGGTTTTCATTAGTTTGCAATTAATAATGTGAATGCTGGATTACTTTTTGTGAGGTTCTTGTTTTTCTAGTATCTTTTTCTGTAGTTGCAGGTTAGTATATTGTGCTCTCAATGTGCACTATGCTGTGAACTTTTTCAACAAAAACAATATGTACATTGTGTAACTTACCAAATAAAGGAACCAATAAAAAGCCACCAAAGGACAAGCTACACATTACTTGGGAGACCTACGACTAGATCTCCTGGTGTCTTTTTAATCTAGCCATGGGGCCCTCAATGTGGATCTCATCAATACTGCAGCAAAGGGACTTCACTCCTGTGCTGCTTGCCTGACAGAAAGTGCCTCCAGAGTTGCTATTAGCCACAGTGGGGATAGCAGACAAGGGCAAGTTTGTTATTTTCTGTCTTTGAAAAACAAACGTTTCACCCAGCACACTACATCCTGATCTATGCACTAATATCACTTTGATAGGAAATTAGCCAGACATGGGGAAGCATGAGAGCAAAAGTAAAGGGAACAAAAAAGAATTACAGTATTCAGTACATTGTATACCTGTTGTGACAAAATCTTCTGTATCTTCTGGAACTTGTGGTATTTGAGATCTCAAAACTCCCGATGATGTGCTACCCACAGGATGTGTTTCTGCAGCTAATCCAGACAGGTTTTCAGCAAGAGTACTAACAGCTTTTGCTGTTATTTCAACTACCGGAGTTGGTGTGTCAACATCAGACTGCACTTCATCACTAAGATCTTTGACATACGCGACATCTTCCTGAACTTGAGGTTCTGGGTGGGCTTCCTCTGGCTCTGTTACAGTGTCCAGTCTCTCTGTCAGCTCCTCAGTAGGACTGGACTCAGGCGTTAACTGCTCCTGCTCTGCAGGTAGAGCTGTTTCATTTGACTGTGTTGCATCTGTTTGCTTTTCTGTAGTTCTTACAAAGTCTATAATTTCTTCTGTTTGTTCTGTTACTGATGAGTCCTCTACAACTTGCTGTTCAGGTACTGATACATTAGCTTCTGCTTCAGCAAGGTCACCTCCCTCTTTCTCTGGATCAGCCATTTCACTGAAATTAAGAGTACATATTTTTAAACTTCTTGTAAGAGTCAAGCATAATTTTCAAGTAAATGGTATTCCATATTTAGAAATTTAATCTAATCCCCAGTCTGAAGTGACTGGTTACATTTTCTGATGTTAGGTGTTGCACAAAACATCAGTAGGAGAAAGCTCTTCAAATTAAACCAGAGATGTGGACATTTTCCAAAACAGACAATTTTCCACTGTTTTATTTTTCTGTGGAAAAATTTCTATCTCTGAACCTTAATTTTTTTACCATAAAATTAGTAACTTTGAAAGGATTACATTGCCAATACAATATTAGGCAAGCTTGGCAATTTTGAGGTTACAATTAATGTTTTTCAGGTGATTATCTCTTGAAATTGTGTAAGAGAGAACATGTATGTTTTATAGATTTGTAAATGAGAGAACAGGAATAAAATCACACTCATTTTGTCTCTCACATTAAGTTATGAATGTAGATCAAATCAAAACCAAAGTTCAAATTCTTACTTACATGTCTCCTCTCACACATCGAAACGGATATTGTTATCACTATTCTAATTATTCTGATCTGGAATTAACAAGTAATGCTATGAACAGTGACAGTGAAACTGAGGTGCCCCGGTGGCCCCCATTTAAACGACTTAAATTCTGCTGAAATAGGTGATGAGTGGACAACTATTTCTGTGTCACATCATGCACAATTCTTTGGACACAGTAAAATGAGTGTATCAACAGTATCAAACCAATATTTTTTGGTTTGTGAAAAGTATGCAGACGGAGAGTGATTTCAGCTAAGCATACCTTTATTTAGTCAGGAACAAAAGACAAGGGACCAGCTCGCAGGCTGGTTTATATACGTTCAGAAAACCCGCCACCAAGTACACCTAAACACACCCCCTACTCCCGATAGGCTATTTACAGTAACCGGGCGACCATTGGTCTCCCGGCTGAGAAGCTGGCCCTTTGATTGGGCCGGCTAGGATCCTACGGACCCATTGTCTTTGGACATGAAGCTATTGAAGAGTTGTGCCTGGTCAGCCCGGGCAAGTCCGGGCATGTCAGGCTGAATACATTACACCCCTCCCCCCTTGGTTCAGAAGGCACCCACAGACGAAGTCCTTCAGGTAGGCGGGTAGCTTCTTGGGGCGCGTCGAGCGTCGGGGCTCCGGGGTGGCGATGGGTTCGGTCTCGGGGGCCCTGGGAGCCGAGGGGCCCGGGGCCGGCGAGGGCGCCGAGGAGGCAGGACAGGCTGGCACCACGGTGTGAGGTGCCTCGGGTTCCTC